TAATAATAATAATAATCGAATATTTCCTCAGGATAACCCTTCAGTACAAAGTACTGAAACAAGGCGGGATGGAAGACGTCAGCAAAGATTCGCCTATTCCTTCGAGTTTTGATTGGTCCACTGGATTTTCTGCGACCTTTGTGATTGGCTGGAGTGATTACTTTGGTTTTCATCATCATCATCATCATTTCTCGTCGCCCTAGTAGGCGCATAAGGCCGTCACGCTTTCCGACCAACACTCCCTGTTCCGTGCCACCGCTTTGGCTACTTCCCAGCTCTTCCATCCCGCCTTGTTTCTTTCCTTCTCCACCGTCCTTCTCCAAGTTGTCTTTGGCCTCCCTCTCGCTCTTCGACCTTCTGGTGTCCATCCCAATGCTGTGAAGCAGTCGTTCGCACCCTCTCTCCTGAGTATGTGTCCCAACCAGCTCCACCTTCTTCGTCGTACCTGACCTCTGCCATTTCAACCACTTTGGTTTTGGTTTAGCTCTAATGAAAGTAACTAATAGGGTATCTGCAGATCCAGTATTTTTAAGAATTTTATAGTAGCCTTATTCCTCCTTTAACAGTAAGGCTTGGATCTAAAGGCTCTAAAACTGAGAGATTCTTGTTCATAATGTCAGTCCTATTGATTTTCTTATTCGAACTATTAGACAGATCTGTGTCAACCTTTCAACAATACACATGTCTAAAAATATTAAAAGAAAAACCATGAGTTTACTCATTGTTTCTTGGTTTACTTTATGTCTCATCATTGTTCATTATTTGTAGGCTTGATTTCTTGGCAAAGCTACAACTGCTGAACACTGAACGAAGTCTATGCAAGGTAGTTACAAGGTTGACCATGGAATCCTTGAATAAAAGGACAAATACAATGCACAACTACAAGGTACCACGTAACAGAGTCATCACAGTTCTTTATCTTGAGGTCACTACATTGGATTATTTACACTGAACTAGGAGTCTACAAGGTGATGTAATCCTGACTAGATACCCTTGGACAAAGGACAAATACAATGCACAACTACAAGATACTAACAGAGACAACACAGTTCTTAATTTGTCTTGAAGTCAATATATTGAATTATTTTGCACGAGACCAGGAGAAGATTCAAAGTATTTCTTGGTGAAACTCCTTGCAGACCCCATGGTACACACTCCCCACATCACGGTCTTCGCGGACCAGAAACACACTACAAAATAGCCTTCGGCTGGTAAGCCTGTTGAAACAAAACAAGGAGTTTAAAATAGTAAATGCGATTCCCAAGCATCATAATACCAGTAATACCGCAACCACAGCAACCACCACCACCACCACCAGCACCAGCACCAGCACCACCACCA